TTGTGATATTCAATATATAAGAAAGCATCCTTCTCCTTGCCAAGAAATTATAGTGAATGGATAAAATGAATTAGTTCAATTTATATTGTGCCAAATAGAAGCATACTTATTCTTTACCATTTGGTCCAGGCATAAAGAACATTGACTAATCATATGCTTGGTTACTGATTATGCGGCTAGGCTGGCAGGATATCAGCTCTCACTTCGAAGCTCCCACGTTCCCCTCACCTGAGGGCTAACATCTACACATCAGCACCCAAACGATATAACTGAATTGGGGATTTTAGTCTGTCACTCTAAAATCTCCAATTCTACGCACGATAGTAATATTTCCCTATTTTTTTGCACCCAACTACCAAGGGCTTTGACCTCCCTGAATCTTGGATGTAATCTTTACTTTAGTTGTAAAACTCAATATATTTTAACAATTTAATTGGCCAGATTGAAAGTAAATTAATATCGAAGTGAAAAGATCATCACAATTTCTTAAACATTTTCATGGCTTCACCAATTCAAATCATAATTTCACAAATCTCGAGATAAGGAGAAAGACAGAGAAAATTACTCATAACTCATTGGAAAAGCACAACACAACTTGGAATTCATATATAAAATCAAAGCCATAAAAACTATAACAAGTAAATAAGTTATCTCTAAATTTCTCCCCAAGAACACTCCTCGAAGTTCCTCTGAATCTCTTCATTTCTTTACAGCACACAGAATTCCTCTTCGAAGTAGCAAGGAGGAAGAAATCTCTCACTTTCCCTCCACTCTTACAATTTCTCAAAGAATTCCTCATAATTACATGCCCTAGCAAGCTCAAATGAAACCTATCTAACCTCCAGGTCTCCAAGAGTCTCCAAGAGTCTCCCCATTTTCGGCCAAAATGTTCTCTTTAAAGATGTGGATGAGTTTTCCCAAGAGTCGCTTACGCACCCCACCAAAATCCGACCAAAATCCGGCCTTATCCATCTTATCCATTGTACAAGTCACATAATCGTCGATCCCGTCGTCGGCGGCCTCGATGGCACCGTCGGCGGTCTTCTAGAGAATTTGTCCTGTAGCCTCGGGAAAAGCTCGCCGTCAGCGGCCTCGATGGCGCCGTCGGCGCCCTAGTGCAATTCTCCACATTTTGGTCTTTTTTGCTCCAAATTTGCTCCTTTTTGCATATTTTTGCTCCATTGACCCTAATTCATCATTCATGCAAGAAAATATCAAAAACACCTTTCTTTAAAGTGCAATATCATTAAAAATAGAATAAAAGAGGTATGAAAATCTCAACATATTTTTCTTTGGTCAACCTGCAACAAAAATATGAAAATATCCTTCTTTAAAGTGCAATATCACCAAAAATAAGCATAAAATGTATACTTAAAATAACATATTATTTCATTGTATCACGAACCTAAAAGCATTGGACGGGGTCTGCAACTTGAAGCAGCAGACAATTGAGAAATGTGTTGTCCAAATTATGATACATCATCTCTTTTAAGGTTGGCAAAATAAACTATCCTTATACTTATTATTTCATATTATTATCTCCAATAAAGTGGTTTATCAAGTAGTAGACTAATTTTGCTCATCTTTGATTAGATGGGGCTTTCCAGGAGTATATGCTAATGACTAAAATAAACTTAATTATTCCAAACATTATGCTTGATTCTCTAATGTTGATCAAATGGAGTAACCATTATTATTAGCATTATTAACCATCAATGATAATAGTTAATGAATTAGGAGATAAAAAAATGTATTATAGAAGTTCAGAAAAATAAACCAAAATGGCTTCTCTTAGCTTTATTAAAAGGATAACTAGCCTAAAGTTATTTAACTAATTTATTCCACACTCCAATTCTATATGGAACTTGAGCACTATAATGTCTTTCAATTAAAATGATTTGATCACGCATCGATATATGTAAGAAATTAACTCAATTTAGTAAATTTTAAAAGTAATGATAAGTGAAAAAAATTTATCAGGTAATATTTGAACTATACTGGAAGCAATAATATTTTTTTTGAATCCTGATTAAAAAATAATTAAACTATCTTTAAACAAAAATTGAATAATTTTTAAATTGTTATCAATTCATAATTGTAAAATGCTCGAGCATTATTTGAGTCTTTTTCAAAGAAGATTGAATAATCTTGAAACAAAATTCAAACCAACTTTAAAAACTGATAAAATAATTATTGAATTGTCATCAATTCATAGCCAAATAAAAATTAAACAAAAATAGAACAAGAATGGTTCCTTATTTAACATATCTTCAAAAATTGATAAAATAGACTTATAATAATGTTCAAATAATATTCCAATAATGATCAAATCATGATTATATAAAACAAAAATAAGGTTAAAAAAACCTTGAAATACCTATAAATAACGATCCGAAGAAGGACAAATAAAAATTTAACTATTTTGAACAATGATTGAAAAATATTAAAAATTTGATCAATAATCCTTCAATAAGGATTGAACAAAATTGAGCTACCTCAGAAAAATATTTGAAAAATAATTGAATTGTAATCAAATAATAATAAATAATTTAAAAAAATGATCAAATCGTCTTTAAACTATTTCCTAATAAAGATTAAATCAATTGATTTATGTTTAATCAATGGTTGATCATATCTCGAAATAAATAATGATCCAATCACCATAGAATCACATTTGACCACTATAAATGTAGTTGATTCTCTGTTGATAAATACTTAAACTCTATCTAGGTAGATTCTTCAATGAAAATTCAACAGGTCATTGCCCCGTCAAATTCTTATTGTTGTTGTACGTTATCTTTTTTTTATACTCACGAGAGTGTGAGAACTGTATGTCATCTCTTGGAACTGATCTATAATAATTTTATGCTTCTGCATAATATATTTCTCTACTACCAACAAGTTATTTTAAATAAGCTACCCCAAACAGTTTTACCACACAAAGGCAGGAATATTATTTATACAGTCATAACTATCAATAAGTTATTTTGAATAAGCTGTCCCAAACAGCAAGCCAATTTATTATGATAATCTGTAGATAATCAAATTATCTGTTTATCTGCAGATTATAAATAATCAACAGCAGCCCCAAAGAGACCCTTAGTCGTGGCATAACTGAGTGGATAAGATTTGAAGTGTTAACATGAAGTTTGATTCAAAATAAACTAAATGAATGACATTATTAAACTTTAGAGATCTTAAAAGTGCAACAAATCTTTTTTATAAATCACCATAAAATGGTAAAAATAGAGAATTTATTAAAAAATTAAATAGTTGTGAGGTTCCTACAGTGAAAAATCTTGTAACCATTCAACAAAGTACAGACCTTTTTTTTAAAAAAGCAGGATTATTTTATTTAAAATGAGCTTTCGAAAGTTTATCTAATTAACGAATTTCCAAATTCACTTCCAATTTCACCTACTACAAAACACATTCTGTCAAGTTTGTCAAATTAAAATGTCATTCTCATGGAACAAACATGTACGGACGTTGTCATTTTCTCATATGCTTCAAGTCATTCTAAAATATTGCTATTTTCAAGTTAGTACAGATATACAAATCATTCAATTTAAATGCAAAATTTTCCAATTTTATTAAAACTTGTAACTAAATCTCATTTCATAAGATAAGACCGGGTAAAACCATGTTAAGGATCAACATAAAGAAGTGCAATTTTTCAAAATTGTAATCTGTCAACAAACGAACTGCAAGCGAAGATGCCAGTTTTTTTTTTTACATCGATATATACATTAAAATGTAGGGGACCACCCACAACGTACATCCCGCTCTAATTATACAGCTGTCACCCACGAAAATCAAAACCCATACCATCTACCGCATGAATAACGCAACATCAACGGCATCGGGTCCAGTTTACCACACGACCGTTTGCTCAAACACCCGTACTACACCGGACGATGGTTCCCTTCACTATTTTCGCTTATTTTATATTTACAGAAAAACACTCCATGAAAGATTCTAAATGACAGCCCTGTGCGGCAGCCGGAAACGGTAACATAATTTTCGAGGAAACATTAAATAACTTTTAACTTAGATCCCCGTGCTAAGTCTAAGAGCTGTCTTCATGTCAAGCCGCCAGGCCAGACAGCCATCTTCCAACCGCCATATGTCACAAGGCACAGCGAGGGAGGCTTTTCCCCGTCTCCCACACGAGTGCCGCAGGCTTGTCATGCATGTAAACGCCTGGCACATGTCGCCCGGTATCAGACCCCGTGTAACCAGCACAACTCTAACTTCCTCTTCCACCGAAGGTTCCAGCAGTGACACAGCGTCTGACTTCGACGTCGAACTATAAGATGATGAAGAAGACGACGAAGACTCAGCACTAGCTCCTTCACCGATTAGCATTCTTCTGAAGGCCGAGTTGGTCCACGTGATCCGATCTGCGACGATAGAAATAAAAGCTGGACAGTCTCCAGCCTCCAGCCACCGCCTAAGCTCGTCATCTCGTCCAGTAATTCCGCAAAACCCCATACTCCAGACCTCTGTCACGCTCTCTATGGTCACCGACACAGCTGCCGACAGCGCTGGCCTCGGAGAAACCACCACTCCCGCTCTGTCAAGTACCGGACAAAAAAACGGTGACTCCCCGGTGATGGACAACATCGGGGACCCCACAGCCTGCACCCCCTCTTTCCTCTCCGGCGTAACTGACATCAGTTGTAGCGTCAGAACCTGCGCCATGCCGCTAGAACCAGCTGCATCCCTTGTGGTCATATCCTGCACTTTTCTCGGCTTTCTTCCCCGCTTTCCAACAAAGGAGCCGCCCTTTCTTCGCGTTCCTTCCCCCTTCTTTACTCTCTTTCCGACTAGTGTGGGCTCCAAGGCTATGCCTGGTGCTGAGCCCGCAGGGAACGGCTTCGGGACGATCGGGCGGTACCTCAACATTATCGTACTCAGTTTCCATGCCGCGTCGTCGTTGGCCGTTCTCTCCATCATGTCCATCCCAAGATAAGAAAGAGAAACAAAGGAACCGGATGGAAATCTGCTGGGACAACAAGAAATAGTAAAAACAAAAAAAACAAAAAAAGATGGTGACTGGCGTAATAGGCAGGTGTCGGTGAGATCCGTGTGAAATTGGAACTGCTACGGAGACACGTGTAGGGTATAAGAAAAGAGAGCGTCGGGGCTGGAATGCCGGGAGGGCGGGCCAATGAAAGGACGCAGTTTGTCTAGTGTTTGGCACGGAAAGTAGCCACGTATGTGGTTATTGCGCGCGATGCCCGAAACCCTCGGGGAAAAAATTTGGGCAGGCGATTTCGCGAAATCCGAACGCGTGGTCCAATAGGATGCCTGCAGGGTAAGGATCACCTTCTCGCCTACCATTATCAGTACTAGGATTGGACACGTGGAGCTTCTGAGGTTATTTGTATTTAAGCCCGATTCGTTATTTTTTATTAAGGCAGGAATGAGGAAAAAATATTAGTTTGTAGTGGGCCCCACAATTTTAAACAGTGATTAATTTCAGTATAATGTGACGTGCACACTTGACACGTGACGCCCTATCATTGGACTTCGGGCACAAATTATGTCTGGGTCCGAAGTAAATATTTGCTCCCATTTGAGAGGATTGTAGACTTCCATTCCAGCGTATGGATCGTGAGAGAAACTAACAATCAAAAGAACCACATGTAAGAGACATAAAAAAAAGCTCTAAAGAAAGCTTAGAAAGGCTAATCAGTATCCAATCTAAGGAAACCAACCTAACATATACAAAGATAAGCAACTTCATTAAAAACAAGCTTTAAACGATCATAGGATCAACAACAATGGAAACAATAATCAAGAATCCAAGCCCTAAATAGTCAAATGATAAAAAAATATGTAACTGACAATTGTCAGTGCTCATTCATCATCCTTAAAAGAAAACTCCAGCAAAGAAGCATACGAAAGCAACAACTAAAATCAGTATCTTAGGAACCTATAAGACCACATAGTCTAGAAGGAGAGTCCCAAAAAAGTAAAACTACAACATAAAATAGAAAAAATTAAAGAAAAAATTCTATAGAAAAACCATTAAAAATGAAAAAAAGGTAAGAAAAAAATCAACATGAAAAAGAGCTCAATCAAATTCAATTAATAACCAAGAGAGTCCTATCAAATTCAAAGAAAGTAAAATCCTAGGAGGCTGATCGAAAAATCTATTAACACCTTTTTTTTTATGGCAACAAAAAGGTCAGTAAGTCTTACACTCAAGGTAAGATCAAAGTGAAAAACAAAGCCATCCCATAATGAGAGAATAGCCAAATTATAACTAAGATATAACTTTAAAACTTCGATCAATGGTTGCAAAGTTTCCCTCCATGGTTAATGAGTCAAAGAATATAGATGAGTAAACTAGGTTATATATCCAGAAAAATGGTTAATTCCCAAAGCATGGATAAGTTCCATCATAAAACAACATAAAAACAACCACAAAAGAAAAGAAGCAATGGAAGTATCCTTATTAGCAATAAAATGTGATAATAAAAAAATCAATAGACAAAAAAAAAGGAGCAAAATCAAGGAGGTAATAAAGTAAAAAGTTCATAACAAAAACACCAAACCTAGAAGGACAAAAGCAACTACTCGCTCATCATAAGCTCAAAAAGATCCAAACATAAAATCAAAGATAGCCGCCAAAAATCAAACAAAAAAATCATAAAAAATAGACATAAATATCATAAATTTGAAATAGCAAGAAATTAAACAAATAAAAAAAACACAACCGCAACAAAGATGCAATGATAAACAAAAGGAATAGAAAAAGATAGAAACACATTCCGAAAGAAGGTCAATAACCAAAGAGAAAGAAATAATAAATTAAAAAAATAAAAGAATTCTAGAGAAGACAAAAAAAACGAAAACATATATTGAAAAAAATAATAATAATAAAACTCAATCCTATGTTGACCTCATTTTCAGTAAACCTTTCATTCACACTCAAATCAAACTAAAATTTAAAACATGTTCAAATCGAGCTAAGAACGTTGAAATCGATTAGTTCGTTGTTCAATTGAGCTTTCAAAATAAATTTGAGTTCTTATGGGGTGGGACCCACACGTTGAATTCAACTGCATCACCTTAGAGACAATGTTGTCAAGACCGACCCTGCCTTTAAAATCCTACATATTTTCTCTCTTGAGGGAAGTCAAGGTTCTCTTTTGGTTAGGACTAAGTGCTCGTGTGCCCCCTTGTGCACGCAAGCTGTCATATGCATGCACATGTGTGCCTATGTGCACGTCTGTGCGCACGTCCGAGCACACTCGAAAGTTCCCTGACATTGTCACTCCTTAGTCTAATGTGACCGTGCCTTTGTCCACACCAGCAATCTGTAGCTCTCTTCCTTAGGTCTGACTGTGAATTGATGAAGTGTTTTGTTGTTAATGATCTATGTGAGCTTCAACTATCGAAAGAAGCACAGTCGCAGATCTTTGCCTCATCAATGGTCATTGGGGACGATTCGTGACCGGTTACTACCACCATTACTACCTCTGTTGTTCTACATCACCTATAAAAAGAGCTTTGTGAGATGGCTTTTAGTGCCTTCTGCCTCTAACTCTTCATTCTCCTTCCCCGATGATCTCTTGTAGATCTGTCGTGTCGGCCAGTTGATTCCGAATAATATAGTTGTGTAAAATTTATATAAGTTTAACTTCGCAATGTATCTGCGTCAAAAGCTTGATGCAATATTTATGATTAAGAAATTTAAGCAATTAATGTTGGGATTTTACACAAGTATATGTATCGTTATTAAGAAATAAAGAACTTTCTATTTAAGCCTCGAATATCGATCCCACGGGGAAGGTTTAAATTTGAAATGATAAATTTACTAAGAAATTTACATAAAGTGAAACGAAATTACTGTCAATAATTCTGAATGTTGAGATATTATTAAAACTAAATTATTTAATTATTCGCAAAACTAAAATGCGAAGTTTAAACAGTAACTACTAAACTATGTTTATGAGATGAAGATTTCATATGTGAAAAAGCATCTTTCCCACTAAAATGAGATTTTGGTAAATTGAGATGAGATAAACGATTTTAATATGTATTGTACTAAATAGGAGCAGCTTTAATTCTCTACCCTGATACAGTGTTATAGAAAATCGTTGGCTAATCTCAGGTTTAGTCCCTAAATCCGTGGCTAGACTAGAAGGATATTGGCGCCCACTCCAGAGCTCCCACTTCCCTTCACCTGAAGGCTAACTCTCACTTTAGTTTTTAAACACTAAGACCGAATTAGTATTTTAGTCTAACACCCTAAAATCTCAAATTCAACACCCAACAATATATATTTTCCTATTTATTTGCACTTAATCCCATGAACAAAATATTACTTCATGGAATTCGATGTGATCCTCATTCTGTTATAAAAATCATACTCTATTTCCCGAATCATATGTTTCATAACACATTTCAACAAATCAATTGGTTAGATCGAAAAATAAATTAAGTTCGAAGTTGAAAAATCATCACAATTTATTTTATATTTTAATATTGGCACATCCATATTATCTCTTCATTTCACCATATCTCAGAGTAGGGAGAAAGATAAAGAAAACTATTCAAAATTTATGAGAAAGATACAATAAAACACAAATTTCGTACATAAAAGAAACTTCATACAACACTAATAAGCAAACAACACTTATCTGAAACTCTTTCTTAAAGCAAATCCCTTGTAGCCTCTCCTAGGAAACGTATAATGAAGAAATCAAGAAATCTCTCACTTTTCTCCTTCTCCAACAATATTAGAGAAGAATTCACACTTAATCTCACCACAAAAACTCTAAAGTCTTGAATAAAAATCACTAATAGACTATTGAATGGTGGTGGAATGAAAATGGAAAAAGTGTATGGAGGCGAGGTGTGGCAAAAATAAGCAAGGAGGAATGAAGAGGAGCGCCTTTTCTAATCAATTTCATGCCTCAAATGGGGCCTAGAGTTGGTTCTTCAATAGGCGCATCCAAAAACCCTTCAAAAAGAGTTCAAATTCGTCGAATCTTCTAGAAACAGAGTCTGAACCGACATTGGCGCCGTCGGTGTTAGTGGTTCGTATTATAATTCTATGCTCTCTATCAAATGTTGTCATCGATGCTGCTTCTAGCACCATCAAAACTGAGGAAAACCCATCAGTCCTTTTGTAAGTATGCATCGTCGGCACTGCTTCTATTACCGTCAGCGCGGAGTATTTCTTTAAAAACGCCGTTTTGAATCCAAATTCTATCCTTTTCTTTTTTCCTTCAAGTCCAAAAATAAAAAACTTGCAAGAAAACATAAAAATTTCTTCCTTTAAAGTGCAATATCACAAAAAATGAGTATAAAATATGAGTCTAAAAATGCATATATTTTTTTGGTATAAAAATCTCCCAAACTTACATGTTACTTGTCCTCAAGTAACTCCTCTACTACATAAAAAATATGACTTATTGTAAAGAATTTAACTTCTAGATATCCATATTTTAGTCTACTAAACATAATAGCATGACATAAGAAAAATTCAAATCAACTCCAGTTAATACTAAAGGTATAAGAATATTCAGCACTCAAGTCCAAGATTTCTGATTCTCTATTCTTTTCAAGAAAAATTGCAAATTGTCATATTAAAGTCATTTAGAATATTCATATGAAAAAAAACATCATAACACTTTACTAGTAAATAAACTAATACTGAAATCAAAGTTTAAAAATGTAGTCAAGTCTTCTTCCTTAAGTTGATTCAAGTGAAGCTAATTTTTAATTAGGCATCTCCTCAAGCTTCTTTGCTTTTCTTTTTCGTTTGAAGATCATTTTAAATCCTTTTTCTTTTCTTTTCTTTTTATTTTCTCTTCTTTTATTTTCTCTCTTTTTTCTTATGTGAGGATTACTATATCTGAATAGCCTTTAATGATTTTGAACTTCACTATCCTCCTCTTAAAGTTAAAAACTTTTCGCATCCCTTCACTTAACAAATTTATAGTAGCTTAAAGATTTCATAAAGTTTAATTCTTTTCTTTTTACATGAATCTCTAAGATTTTTAATACTTCAAAAATTTAAATTTCTTTGCTCATAATAGAAAAACATAGACTTATTCTCTTATATCAAATATCTTAATATTTAAAATTAACCTTCATTATTTAAAATTTTTACTTAAGCTTACTATATATTTAGAAAAATAAATATAGTTATCTAAAGTTAACCTCAAATATCAAATATCATGCTAAATTTAAAATTTTTGAAAATATAGCTAAGTGAGGACAAATAAAATTAAGTTTCTTTCTTTTAAAAATGAATTTTTCTCCCCCCCCTAAACTTAAAATTGTAAAAGATTTAGCATGAAGAACTGAAAAAAAAATAAAGGGTGAAAGAAAACACTAAATACATAAAAAAAGACTTATATGTTAAAGGTTCTAATTTTTGAAACTTAACTATGAAAT